CTGTGTTATTTTCATCTTAATCTTAAGTTATGAGAGGGTTTGGGCTCTCGTAAGACTGTAAGGTGTATACCGTCACATACGAGTCGAAGCCATTCTACAGGATTCACACTCGGCCTACAACCTAGGATTCCCGGCAAGCCAGGCAAGGCCACGACGGCCAGCGTATATAAGGACCGCCTGGGATCGACTCGGGGTGCTTCATTCTACCAGACGGCCAGGACACCGACCGTGTAAGGATCCAACCCTTACAGTATACAATACATTAGCATTGGCCATTGCTGATGAAATAGCAGGTAATTCACTATTACGTATTAGTATTATTGAAATTAAACTTCTTAAGCATAACAAACCACTATCCAAATGTTTTGATTCGTAAATTGTCGTACGGAGAACGTAAATTAGTGCACGGTAACTTAAGAAGACATTCTAACTTACAGTACCTGCGATACGGGGACTGATGTTAGAAGACGTGAACGACATAAACTCAGCATCATGCGCGCTGCCATTTTGTATGTTCGCTTGTCTGGCTCTGTTGTTATCGTGTGACGTCACTGATGACGATGAAATGATGTCAGACGCATGTTCAGCCTGAGCAGGAGTGTGGGGGAGGGGGGTAGGTGTGTGCGCGTGTGTTGAGGAGGGGTATGTGTGTGCGCGTGTGTTGAGGAGGGGTATGTGTGTGCGCGTGTGTTGAGGAGGGGTATGTGTGTGTGTGCGTGTGTGGGGGAGGAGTATTTGTGTGAGCAGGAATGTGTGGAGGGGCTCAGGGGAAGGATATGTGTGTGCGCATGAGTGTGGGGAGGGGTATGTGTGTGCGCGTGTGTGTTTGGTAGGGGTATGTGTGTGAGCAGGAGTGTGGGGGAAGGGTAGCCTATATAATGAAATCTAATATGTATAATCCAGATCTACAGGTGCGTGTACAGGGAGGGGGGGTCCAGGGGGTCCGGACTCCCCCCTTGCTCGCGCAGAAAACGCATCTAAGGGGGTCTAATTAAAAAAAAATTCTGGAGCCCTCCCCTTCGCGCGCGCGCGCGCGCGTGCGTGCGTGCGTGCGTGCGTGCGTGCGTGCGTGCGTGCGTGCGTGCGTGCGTGCGTGCNCACACACACACACACACACACACACACACACACACACACACACACACACACACACACACACACACACACACGCACACACACTACACACACTACTCACAGGCTAGTTGGAGCCTGTTTATATGCGCATAAGGGATTATAGGACGGCGATAAACAGAAACAAACTACACGCATGCTGGTGCTATCCTTCCATGAAATAGACAATTTATGACAATAGATAATTGTCGATTATCAACCTACATTTACTGCGCAAATTTCGCCAAAGTTATTACGACATTTATAGCACCCATGTAGTACTACCTAGTATATT